CTGTTACCAAAAACACAAAACATCGCATTATAACAATAGTGAGAGAGGTGAGGGGGGTGTTGTAAACGAGATGCTTCACCACTCACTCGACCTTCACTCAGCCAAAGCACGTGGTGTAAACAAAACACTGAACAGCTGATTGCTTGAGCTATATTACGTGTTACCTGGGGATTGTGTTAGGTTTGGTTATATTAAGGTTAGATTTGGTTATATTGTGTTGGAATGTGTAAAGTTAGGTTAGATTGTGTTAGGTGAGGCTGGATCATATAGGATTGATCTAATTAGCCTTAACTTGGTATTCTCAATCTATAAATACATGATTTCACTGATTATAAGGAATTCGATCACATTTAATTCCTACTTATACAATACCTGGGTTTCTGTACCTTATTAACAAGTATTGTTGAGGCTTATTATTGTTGCTGCCCCAAGTGGATAAGTGGACGACAAGGTGGGGCTGGTGATGGCTTCATTGCCAATGTGTTGCTTGACCACTCAGGTGAGTACAGTGACCTCCACCCTCCCTTATGCTGGTACACTCTCCCCCCCCCCCTTCTCCTCTGTCTCTCCTCTATCTATCTCTCTCTCTCTCTCTCTCTATCTCTCTCTCTCATTCCTCCTCTTTCTCCCCATCTCTCCTCCTCTTCCCCTCCTCTATTTCTTCCTCCTCCTTCCCATCTTCTTCTCTTCTACCTCCTCTCTCTCCTCCTGGAGATTAAATAACTATTTCTAAATACCTTATCGTAGGTAAACAAGTGAACATCAACATGCAAACAAAACAATCAAACAAATGAGCATCGTGAAGTTTGTAGTTTATTTTCGAATTTTTCCAAACCAACAAAAGAAACAATTATGGTCTTATTATTACCTGTATACAAGACTCAACAGACAAGCCCTCAAGGTCTACTATGACAACCTGCATTTGTCCACTACTCCGCCTCTCCTATCACCACTGTCATACTCAATTGCAACCCCACGTATTAGATGCCAATTTATCTGTCAACAGTTCCTCTCCACGGATTGGCTATTTCCTTCCCTTCCAGACTTTTTGATTGGTCAGTTATTATCCACTTAAGTTTCAGGGCATTCAGATGTTAGCCCCGCCCCCCTCCTCTCCCCCTCTGGCTCAGGTGTGTGATGACGTGGTGCAGTGACTAACATCGTCTTATGGAGGACGTGTGTGAAGGATGAGGATAACACGTCTTGATGATTTTCTTTATTGCTATAGGTCCAATTCTGTGGTGGTGATGATGGTAGTGGAGATGGTGTTAGTGGTGGTGGCGGTGCCCGGGGAGTCTTGCACGGTCATAATTATTGTTCTCTTACTCGTTGGCAACACCGTCAAATAATTATTGTTCTCTTACTCGTTGGCAACACCGTAACAAACTTCTCGCTGGTGTGAGAGAGAGACCACCTCATCATCACATGTTCTTGGATGACCTTTGGATGATCTTGATTGGCTTTAATTTATTCCAAAACGGTACAAATCATCGGCCTTGATCACGAGTCTTATACAACAGGTACAGGTAGATAGCTATCCAGGTGTCACTATACTGTATGTATTGCGTATTATCTTGACTTAGTGTTTCTGATAGGTTACTTTCCCCTCAATAAACTACATCATCTATCCATCAAGATATCTATCATAAATTTTATTATCATGTTTTTGTTATTCATCTGGATTCTGTAAACACACGTGATAGCATTAACAATATGCCTCTATATGGCTTTAGCCCCCCACACAAAGCTTACGTCACCTGGTGTGTGTGTAATGTGATACCCTCTAGCCTGGTCTGAGGAGGTAAGGAGCCAGGTAGTGTGCGTGTGTGTGTGTGTGTGTGTGAGGTAGATAGAGAGCCAGACAGACAGTCAAATATATTCTGACTTATTATCCCAACAGACATTAAACTAGTCACTGGGAGTAGTAAAAACATGAGAAAATAAATATCACGCTTTTATACTGCAAGATACTGCAGTGTTTGCATGACGTGGTGCGAGTCGTGCTTTCTGCCGGGTAGATAGATTCATGGATGATAGAGTGGTAGTAACTCTCGACAGGAGCTGCCATGCACAGGCCAACCGGCCTATTGCAGACTCCTTATTTTCTTATGTTCTTATGTACTACTTACCAGCATCTGTATACCCGCCCCGGCGTCTCATCTCTACAGTATATATTTCCTGGGCGTATAGTCAAGGTTAAAACGTTAGTCATTTGTTTGTGTTTTTTTTAATAGACTTTTAATTACAAGGAAAATTCAGTACAGCAGAAGAATATATGTTATACAGTACATTTATTTGGGGTCACGTGATGAAAAAGCTAACCTAACCTAACTTTTGCTGAAGATTTTTTCCCCGCATATTAGGATATTTTTCCTTATTTTCATCAATCACTGAGCCGGACGCTCCAGGAAGTGTGTTTGCCGCTGTAAAATAATTGAACTTATAGATGTGAAGTGTAATTTGTATTTCGTTAATCATTAATGAAGTTATAGACGATTTGTGTTTATCATTATACCGTCACTGGTTTTAACTTGTAAGGTTGTGCGCGTCGCCGTGTTCGTCATAGCAGTTGTCAACAAGGTATACATATGGAGAACTACTGGTCGACAGAATCGGTCGAGTGAGTGTTTGGGTATTAATACTGCTCTCTTGAACCATGTTATTGACAGTAACTCAGGTGTAACTATCAACGGTAGTCGTACACAGTGTCAGAAGTATCAGAGAATGTGTTCATAACATCCCGTCAAGCTTGTTATGTTGGGGGAACAGCTCACCTAGTCAATATTATGAACACAGTCACGTCATAGTCAAGGGCGAAGTTGCCGACTTTGGACGATCAACTAAATACTCGAAAGTTATAGAGAGTCAGTGTGATTTTACAGGAATGTGAAGACTTGATTTATGAAACTGTGGTGAACAAAGCCGGTTTATGCACAAGTTATTCGTGAACTCCTGTACATGGTATTGGGTGTGTGAAGGTCGTAGGGTGAGGACGTCAGCACGCCCCCGTTACCCTCGAGAGGGAGAAGAAAGAATAAGAGAGGCCGCCCAAACATATCATGTGGAGAGGATATCATAACTGTATTTACTGGACTGTCGACTCCTACCTTTATATTCAGAGTTAAATTAGGTTAGGTTGAAGTGTCTCGTACCTACGCTTGTGATGCGCGGCCTCCGATTCAGTGGTCAGAGGTGGTGCTGCTAATGTTGGGAATCGTCTTTCTCGGTAAAAACTTGTTCTCGTCACACATGCCTCGCTTATTCTCCCCACCCCCCACACACACACGAGGGGTTTCATACCCGAGTCCTACACTGGCTTTGTTCAACTGTACCTGCGTTATGAAGCGTGTAACACCACCTGATTAATAACATTCATTTGCCAGTTTGTCTGTACCACCATGTATAAAGTGAAAAAGAATATACAGTATATATATATTAAAAGGAAACATAATAAAGCGACTCTTTGACCTCTACCACAAACATTAAGTATAAGACATTGCAGTTAATATCACTACTACATTTGGCAACGCTTGGGAGACATTAATTACACTGAAAAAAATCTATTGAAGGTAAAATAACAACATTGTACCAAAAACCCATAATAAAAATTTTGGTCCACGGCACTCGACTCCGCCCACAGCGTCGATTGTAACCATGAAATATGACGTCATTGTTCGGTTACCACAATGCTCACTAGTCCACGGTGTTACGAGTCGCAAATGGGATACGCTTGTATGTATGAATATGCGGCGAATATCCTGACTTAGGTCCAACGATTCTCAACGGTAACAAAGTTAACTGCTCACAGAAGTTCAAAACACTTACACAACGATCATAGGACTCGAACAGATAGCCCTCTCCTCAGGTGACAGTAAAGGGGGAATAAAATTATGTACATTTACTTGATACAAAATACAAAGAAATATAAACACGGTGCACATAGAGTAATAAGAACCTAACTCCTAACACCAAATAATCACCTAAATCCTAACCAAACCTACGAACAAATGTAACCTAAACAACATACGGGAATGGGAACACTGTAGGAAAGTGGGAACGAAGAATTCTACTTAAGGTCTGATGATCCCCTGATGATAGAGGTAGCTCCAGCCGACCTGATCCTCGTGATAGCAGAGGAGTTCCAGCCGACCTGATCCCCGTGATAGCAGAGGAGTTCCAGCCGACCTGATCCTCGTGATAGGTAGGGAGAAGTAAGTCAAGTTGTACTGCAGATATCTCAGAGGAGTAGTCCAGCCTTGGGAATAGGAGTAACCAGCCAGGGCAGTAGCTGATGGTGTACTACCTGCACTCGGGCAGAAGTCGTTTTCAGCTCCGGTCGAAGACTAAGGAGTAGGCGAAGCAACTGAGAACCGTGGTCTAGGTAGGAAGTGAAACTACGAGTATGGGCAAAATGGTGACAAATCACCCTCCTCGATGGTGTGGACAGGTTGGTTGACGGGGCAGTTACCAGGCGAAGTGTCGATTAGTGACGAGACTACGGCTCCATGAAGGTCGGGTCTTAACAACGGAAAGACAGGACTCCCGGAGCTCCCCTACCCTCGTCCCCAACACCCCCAACTCTCCTCCCCCAGTCCCCCTCGCCCCAACGCCCCCCCCCCCATCCCACTTTCCCCTAAGCGTTAAACAATAGACCTTATGGTGTAAAGTTTTTCTTGTTATTTCTATTTAGTTGTTTTGAAAGTCATTGTAAAGAAGTCGATTGCGTGGATAGTCTAGTTTTTTATGATAATTGTACAGCTTCACTTAAAAACTTTCCTGTCTTTTGTCGTCTCTCTCTCTCTCTCTCTTTTTATTTTCTTTCTTTCTTATTTCTCTTCTTTTTTCTTACTTTATCCCGTGCTCTGTCTGTCTCTGTCTGCTTTAACAATATCAACAATTTTAATCACACTTACAGATAAACTAACCAACAAACTTAACCATACACCAAGACAGAGTAAACAAAGATAACAGTGGCACTAGCAACACGCGCGTGTACTCACCCTAGTAATGGTGCCGCCACCTGGAGCGTTTAACTTGCGGTGTTGAGTAGCCCCGGGCGAGATGACAAGAGCAAGGTGGAAACGGCGCTGTTGACTTATTCTCCTGGGATTAGCGGAAGACGGGTTTGATATGTTGTTTATTTTTTAGTACTGAATTAGTCTTTCTTACCCGCACATTAATATTTGTTATCCATATATTTGACGCTGTTTCTCTCGCTTGCTTGGTTTTCCTTCGAGGTGGCTGCTGTCTTTTGTAGTCCTTGTGACGGTGATGTTAAGGCCGTATTGGAGGCATTGTTTTGTACGTCGTGGTGTTGACTTGTCCACCGAGGATGTTTGGATCACCTTTTTCCTTTTCGTGAGATTCACAAAAAACAGATTTAACTCTTTATCACAAATGTTACTTCAGCACACTTCGCTGTTGGCCGTCAAGTTATGCTATCATTAGTGTCCATTTTATTTTAACTATAAATCTGCATAAATTTTTATTTTATTTTCATTAGTTATCCTTTATTTTTTTCATTTCTTTGTCAGTTTTTTCTGGAAGACATTTGTGCTGTTAGAAACCTAAATATTCCACGTTTTCTATCATTGAACTTCAGCAGTGACTCAAGGATAAGTGTGTCAGATAGCGGGTTCGTACTCCCCCATTGTGTATTCACTTTTACTTTACTGTTATCCTCTTTACCACTGATCGGCTCGTTAGCCGCTTGGGCGATCGGTCACGTCTCTGTTACGCACCCAGTAAAATTACCTGCCTGGATATATCATTAGACTCATCACCTATTCTCTCACATCTGATAAAGAAACCATTACACGCTTGACTGATTCACGTGATATTGTAGTGCGTGGGAAGAAATCGTTGCGTTAAAGGCGTGTGTGGGAGTGTTGTGGTTTACTACGTTCATACTCGAGATCACTAAACATCCACGTAGCTACTCACGATGACACTAAAGATGGAGGTCATTGGTACAAGTGGGTCATGATGCGAATTTTCCCTATTTCTCAGAACCTGTCAGTAATTTGTGCATAACTGGTTGTGGTCCAGTTACGGGTACCCACACTCGGGTTGGTGTTCTCTACGGCACAGTGAAAGCCACCACGGTCTCATTCTGTATTATACTAAATAAATTAACGGGAACATTTACTTTATCACAGACATGTACATTTTTGTTTGGATAGGAACGTTCATATACAACCTTGATTTATTTATGTAGTTTGTCTGTATGAAGAAACGTCTGCGTTTTTCTCAGCTCTCTATATCCAGAAAGGTTGCGTAATCACTGCGGTCAAGCAACTCGTGGCTCCAGGCGTTATCTGCTCTTACAAAACAGTGGGTCAACGCTCTTGCACTCGGATATTATAGATTAATGAACTCGGCAATAGGTACACGCGGGTTAATGTTTAATACACTGACTTGACGGTGACTTGATGGAAGTGAACTAGTCTTACCTAACAAACATTTTAGAGCAACAACGCAGCACCGAACTAGGATAGTGGCGGGGGGGGGGAATTGTCTTCAATATTATTATTATTATTATTATTATTATTATTATTAGAGTAACTAATACATGCATATTCTTAAAGACTCCCGGTGGTGTCGAAACTTCCTTTACTATAGATAATGTCAATAATAGTACAGTATTTATGAACTTGTGATATAGTGTACAAGCAACCGGTGAGCCTGACCAGCATAATATGTAAAGTACTTGAGAGTATTATCAGAGATGCCGCAATGGAACATCTAATACGATACAACCTTGTAAAGGATTGCCATATTCTGGAACGGGGTGGTAATATCGACAATATTTACCTAGATTTTGCCAAGGCTTTCGACAATGTACCCCACGAAAGGCTGAAAATCAAACTGGAAGGGTACGAAATTCGGGGAAATGTCCTAGCGTGGATAGAAGACTTTCTACGTGACCGCAAGTAGTGTGTGGTGATTAATGGCACGAAATCGTCACCTGTACCTGTCACAAGTGGGGTACCACAGGGCAGTGTATTGGGCCCGCTGTTGTTTGTTTGTTTCATAAATGACATGCCTGACGTTGTACACTCCTCCATACAAATGTTTGCCGATGACGCCAAGTTATTTCGGGAAATTAAGAACCAAGCGTACTGTGAAGAGCTGCAGAAGGACCTCTGTGGGCTCCAGGAATGGTCGAAGAAATGGCTGCGGAGATTCAATGTCACGAAGTGTAAGAGGATGCACCTGGGGCGTACCAACGGAAAGGAGGCGTTTCATATGTCCCAACGGGAAGAAGAAACTGCACTAGTTAAGACTGAATGTGAGAAGGACCTTGGTGTGTATGTTGATAATGAGCTGATGTTCTCGGGCCATTGCGAGAAGAAGGTAAATCAGGCAAATAAATTATTGGGTCTTATAAGAAGGTCGTTCAGATATCTAAACGGCCCGTCCCTCGTAACGATCTTCAGGAGTTAAGTGCTTCCCCATCTGGAGTACTGTCACCCCATCTGGTCCCCGAGATATGCTAGGGACTGTCAGTTGGTTGAAAACGTTCAAAGGAGGGTCACCAGACTGGTGCATGCACTTCGGCACCTCAGCTTCCCTGAGAGATTGGAGCGCCTGAACTTGCCTAGCTTATACTACAAACGGGCAAAGGGGGACCTAGTTGAGGTGTATAAGCATCTCAGGGGGTACTACTCAGTTTAGTGTCCTTACTTGGAGCTGGCGGACGCTCGCCCCACAAGGGGTCACAGCTCAAGATTGAAGAAACCGCAAGTCCAGAAAACTGTGAGGGCAAACTTTTTCGGAGTGAGGGTTGTAAACTCTTGGAACAATCTACCAGAGAGTGTTGTGACGGCACCAAGTGTGAGCTCTTTCAAGCCGAGACTTGACCAACACTGGAGCGGGTTCAGGTACATTCAGTAGCCGGTGCATGCCCAGTATTTGCCAACAGTGCGTGACAGAGACGTGACTGATCGCCCGGGCGGCTAGCGAGCCGATATTTTGGTGAAGAAGATAAAGGAAAAGTAATCAGAGACGTGACCGATCGCCCAAGCGTCTAACAAGCCGATCAGTGGCGAAGAGGTTAAAAGTACAGGTAAAAGTAAACACACCACACTTCACACTATGATATGGTTATTTTGAAACTCCATCAAAAATAATATCAGAGAAGTTATTGTTTCTCTTTAGTGTTCACGTGGATCGTTTAATAATAAAATTGTAATAGAAATGTATTTATACTTGGACGATAGAAGCAGCATAAGAATACCAAGCAGCACTGATAGGTTGTGTTTACACCTGTATGTATGTATCGTGAGTACATCGACACCCTCACCTGTACTCTTCACTAAAATTTCCATATTTTCTTTCGTTTTTTGTTTCATAATTCTTCATCGAAGTCTTATCATCTGAAACAGTAATATTAACTTTTTGAAATACCACTAATAACCTACACTACAGACAGCAGCAAGAGTTGAGTTCGTCACTGACAAAAAAAATGTTCCATTCAACTTTCGATTTTTAGTGAGGAGGTGAGGTGGCGATGATGAGCGCGTGGCGGCCAGCACTAGACTGTTGCAGCCGCCAGTGCTGCCACAAACCCAGCCGCCACACCACCGTTCAATCTCTTGCAGTCTCCGGTCTCCCTCATCCCGCCGTACCCCGCTACTACCCCGTCACTCACCTTCCCGCGTATGGAAAGCCACTGTGGGATCGCCGTACCTACCCTACTGCTGTTGTTGCTTCCGTCCTTGTCGCTACCGCCACTGCTTCTGTTTCTGTTGTTGAAGAGCCACCTGCTTCGCCTTATTGCCTCTATGGCGCAAATTGGCGCTGACCATAAAGGAGCATCATTAGTATAAGAACCTAACGCGCCAAGCACTTCCCCTTCAGCCGCATAGTGACAAGCTCCAGTGCCAGATTTAGACCTGTGGAGGCCCATGGGCAGCCTCTTTGTGGAGGCCCCCCTCGTTATAACTACCCAAGAGGGTGGGGTGGCGAGTGAAGCGAGCTTAAACATTTGGGAGTTCCGGGGGGCGCTGTGAGCCCCCCGGGAAAATTTTGAAATTTGAACACTTCTTTGGAGAATTTTGAAGCCATATGCAGTTATATTGAGGAAATTAGAACATTGAGAAATTTTTAATTAACTGTATATTTATTGATAGTGTACAAATTCCCAACACACACACACACACAAAAGTGATAGATAAACATGAATTTTAAAGAATGAAAATAAAAATAATCTAAATGGATAAACAATAAATAAAATATTGTAATAAGTGGAGGCCCCCAGATTGTGGAGGCCCCTGGGCAGCTGCCCTCTTTACCCACTCCTGAATCCGGCCCTGACAAGCTCACAAAGGTTCTCGAGGCAAATGCTCGCCCACATTCTCCCTGCACATAGCGTCCTCTCACGGGATCTGGTGAAGATTAGGAACACCAAGTTATTTCTCCTGATAATTTAGCACCTTAATGGTCATCTGACCTAACCCCTTCTTTAGTATTAGGGTGTTTAATCATCCCGTGAAATAAACAGAGGTGCTTAATCTTCATGAGGTCCGCAAGACGTGGTTATGGCAAGTGGTCAACCCCATGAACCACCACTCGAGAGTTGTGAACTCCTGGAACAATCTGCCAGAGAGTGTGGTGACGGCACCGAGTGTGAGCTCTTTCAAGACCAGATTTGCCCAACACTGGAGCAGGTTCAGGTACATTCAGGAGCCGGTGCATGCCCAGTACTTGCCAACAGTGTGTAACAGAGACGTGACCGATCGCCCAAGCAGCTAACGAGCCGATCAGTGGTAAAGAGGATAAAAGTAAAAGTAATAAGCAGGTGGCACATTATGCAGTACAGATGTCTGGTCAGATATATAGGTTGTGGTCTGGTAGTGATGCTGTGTTGTAGTTCATTCTGGGCCTTTAGGATAACTCCCTTTTTGACCCTCACAAGTATATCTTTGGAGGAGATATTGTGATGTAAGAAAGAACACCAGATAAGCCTTCAGAGGGACCAGGTGGTGAAATCTGGGGTAAGTCGTTCAAATGAGACCAATTAGGTTGTTGTCCACGTTTCTGCCAAAGTGTGAGCGAGACCCTTATTTTGCAGTGTTTGTTTTAGTGGTGGGTTCATAGTAGGCGCTGTAACTGATAGTTTAAGATGAATTTTCCAGCTAATTGTTTATCTACAGTGTGTGTATGTCCCTTTCATATCATGGGTTCATATGACTTATTTGAGCATTACAATAACCTAGATATATGAGGGTGTGTGTTTGTTATGTCATCAGATGGGTACTGTACTGTGTAGGGAGGTTAAGGTTTGTGTTGTGTCGGGTTATGAGCTCTTACGTGTTCTTATTAATCGTGGAAATACTTGGTTATATTGGCTACTGTCCATTTTGATTCTCTGATTCTTGTGTAGTTGGTTTAGATAGTGAACTTTGCTTAAGTTTAGTCAGTGAAGTTTATTTCCGGTAGGAGAATGTTCACTTCTTCTCTGGCTGGGACTTTCAAATCAGACTATTGAGTTTTATTAGCAGATGATCTTTTGCTTTTTACAACCATCCCACACAATAGTATTAAGCAGGTGAAGCCTTATATGATCGGCGGTGCTTACCCTGACATCCTGTAGGGCCATTCGTGTATGTGTGTACATGTATGAATGCATGTCCGCATGCTGTACATGTTTGTGCTTATGTGAATTCGGGTACACAATTGAACGTGATGAGTGAGTTCGTGTATGGAAGTACAGAGACTATAATACTACATACAAGTTAATTAATGCTGTTTGAGAAGCCTTGTACTATCTTAAGATTTAACCTAAATTACACTAGTTTAGGTTTGTGTTGATGCTATCCACTTAGTTTTTTTGTGATATCTATCTGCATGATGGCTTCTGTGTACACATTACTGTACATTGAAATTATTGTTATGTCGCAGTTATTCCAGCAGATGTGAGCACAATATGTGGCTATCAGGAGCTCTGGGCACAATATGTGGTTGTCAGCAGGTGTGGGTATCAGAAGCTCTGGGCACAATATGTGGTTGTCAGCAGGTGTGGGTATCAGAAGCTCTGGGCACAATATGTGGGTGTCAACAGGTGTGGGTATCAGGCGCTCTGGGCATGATATGTGGGTGTCAGGTGGTGGCAGCAACAGCTGGCATCAGCAGTAAGTGGCAACACCAACAAGTGGTGGCAGCAGTAAGTGATGGTGGCATGAACTGGTGTGGGCAACTGTTATAGGTAGATGTGGATAAAAGCACTTGTGAGCATCATAAGGCAGGTGTAGGCATCATCCTGGGACGGGAAGTTGGGTGGTAGAGGGGACCAGCTGGCGTAGAGGATGTTGTTAATCATCGGTCTGGTGGTGTCTGGCATCTCAAAGGCTCACTAATATAATGCACTTTGTATGTTGTCTGAACTCTGTATTTGTGTTATGTGTGAACTCTGTGATTGCATTATGTGTGAACTCTGTGATTGTGTTAAGCTTGTATATCTGGATGTGTATGTTGTATGGATTCAGTGTCTGTTAACTATATATATGTGTAGTTAGATGTGTGTATGTTGTATGTATGTTGACTCAATGCCATCATGTGCAGCATCTATTTTCATATGAATTATTTTTGCATTCACTGAGCAGTTTGAATGGATATGTGCCCACATTAACTGTATACATACTTTAACCCTCCAGCATTAACCAGAATAAATGCCTTAAAGTTGTTCATGGTACTCAGAGGGGTAAGTGTATGTGCTGGTATACTATTACATATTAACTATATGGTATATTGGCACTCACTGTGTACTGTAATGTTGCATGAACACTACAAACAAGTCATTTCTATAAACATTTGTTGTGTGTTTGCTTCTGATTATGTTTAAGTATACAAGCCTTTACAGTATGTATAGTACTATGTACTGTAATCTTGCAAATTATCTAAGCATTTACTTTGCATATGTAAAACATTGTTTACACTGTGCAGATCATCTGTAAAAGCCCTCAGTGTGTATATGTTGAATGTACACTATAATTATAACATCTCCTTATATGATTGTTGTGGTTGCAATATGTACTTTGTGATATTACTGTACAAGCCATCATTGTATATACTGTATAGTATGTTCACATCATCTACACATGCTTCCCCTGTATGTATGCAGTATGTACTGTACTGTACTGTACTTGTATAGAGTGATTATGTCAACAATACTGTGTAAACTTTTTGACCATATCATTTATGTACACATTATGGTACTTGTATGTATTTTACATTACTGTACATTCTTATCTTGTTGAATATACCATAAAACATTAGTAGTGTATGTTATATGGTGTATGTTTGCATGCTGGGGACAAATAATAAGCTGCTGACCCTGGCTGTTTGTCCTTCACCCACTTGTGTCGGTAACAATGATGGCCGCTGTATCACTCTTCATGAGCAGCATCAATCTTTGAGTGGTGGCTACTTGTGTTATTATGACTGGCGATCCCTACGACCTTGGCCTTGACACTTCCCTTCTGATTGAGTGCGGAGTGATCAAGTGGCTGGTGTCCTACAGCACAGACCAAGCTGCTCTCTGCTATCATCCTCTCATTTTCAAATGAGTACAACGGCAGATGAGTAAGAACTGTGACCTGGTGGTAGTATGACCAAGGTGAATTGATGAGTTAGTTTGTCATTATATCAACAACACTGTACACATGTTGACTAAGTACAGTATTAGTACTATGATGAATTAATATCCTAACATAGTACAGGTATTGCAATTATAGATAAATATCAACAAACTGTATTGTGATGTTTAGTACTAGAGTAATATGACCATTTTTCATACATTTAAGGCTTAAATATGAGTTATTTAGGTGTAGTCAACACTATGTGGTGCCTTAGCCCAGGCCAGTGCTAAAAATGGCAGATGTAGCACCAACAACTTTTTGTCTGTCAGTTTGAGATATTTATGGTACTTTGGAATGTCTCTCCAGTTCAATATAAAATCTGGTTAAATTAGTTTCTTCACTTTATTTTGAGATACAGTTAAATAAAACTTTCCAGGAAAACATGTTATATAAGAGGGAACCCACAGTGTATGTATTATTTGATATTTTTTTAACAATCCAGGTTTAATATGACAAGTACTGAATGATTTAATATCTAAACCCTCCCTGACCATCTATACATACATCACCAATCATGCTGAAAAACAATTGAATCCCTCCCTCGTCCTTTTTCCCTTGAAGTTGGCCTTTTGAACTTCTCCCAAAGTCAACTGATACTGTACTTATTCTTTTAATACTTCTCATTCTCTTTAGTTCCAAATCTTTTGAAATTTAAAGTTCATATAAATATACCCTGTAAGTACAGTACTGTATTACACTCAGGTCTTATGACCAAAATCTTGAGAGAGGTTTTGTAAACTGGTTTGTATTTATTAAAGCTTTGACATAAAAAGTAACATAGCTTTCTATAGGATAAACTGTATCTACAGTATAACCTCAGATATCTGGCATTTAACCATCCGGAACTCTCAAGCAAACAGCATTTTTTTGGTAGAGTCAATTTCCAGTAAGTAAAATCTAATCATATTGAAAAAATCGAGAAAATCAGCTTGAATTTGGCACCGCTTCACCCGTGGTTCCATTTTGGGCCAATAGAGTTGCTGAGTGCATCCTCCATGTTGGGCAAACACACTGTAAGCCACCATTACAGTGCCCTTAGTGAAGAAAAAATAGTTTTAGGTGTAATCTTATGGAACATGAGTGTTTAAGGAACTTAACAAACCTGAAAAAGAGTAGTAAACTAAGTGAATACTGTACCTGTACTTTACTCAAGCTCAACAAGTACTACAGCTACTGTACTACAGCATTACGCACACCACTGCAGTGCTACATAACGAGTGAGTACATCCCTTTTATTCCGTTAATAATATATTTACTATGTCCTTTTATTCCTTTTATAATACTTACTGACACAATGTTCTTGAGTTTGAGATGCGCACAGTACAGGTATTTATAAGAGAATCTTTCAAGCATCCGGAAAAAACAATTATCCAGTACTGTACACTGAATTCCCCATGCATTCTGGATATCCGAGGTCTTACTGTATTTGATAAAATTACATAACGTTGTATTATACTGTATTGTACCTGAAGTTTGAAAACACTGGACGAGATTATAAGAACTGGTTAGTACTGTAATCAGTGTATAAAAAAAAAAATTGTTGCAGGGAATGTTCAGTTCATTGAATGATTCAAGTAAATTCAGAGTATAAACAATAAGTTAATCAATTAAATTTTCATCAATAAAATAATGTGGGACTGATCCAAAATTCAAGCACAGACCTGAGAACTTATGGTCTGTGGGAGGGAGATTGTTTTATCCTGCATTTATACAGTGCTGCTCATGAAGTGTTGAGGTATTTGTAAGAGGTATAGGAACTAATGGATATAAACCAAAAATAAAAGAATCATTATTACAATAGTAACTAATAACTGTTTATTGTTTCATGAGATGAGAGATGACCTTTATATTATAACCAGAAAATGTATATGTACTGTACTGTGATCCAGCAAAACTTTGAAGATACTATTGTTGTATGTTCAGTATAACTTCTAACATAGCATAATGAAGCACTACCATCAGCTAAAGCCATTGTATCGATATTTTTCAAAAGTATTACCACCTTTGTTATATACAGTACAGTGTACTTTTATATATATGAGCAATCACACATTGTAAAAATATAATATCCAGTAAATATTTTACATAAATGTGTTCACTATAGGTACTAAGAAATAGTTCAATGTACTTGTATTACAAAACTCAAGTGTTTGAAAAAGGTAACTTAATATCCTGTGTCCACGCAATCCTCAATTTCCCAACATTCACTGAACAAACATTACACGCTGTGACCATGTTTAGGACTCTCCAACGTTCATTTCATTCATAAATACAGCTTTTTTTTTTTTTTTTTACATACCACCACTGATCAGTAAAATGCAGGAATTTGGACACTTAAATGTGGGATTATTTATATCATTACTTCAAAAGAATTTATTGATCCTGTTTACAAACACATTAAGTTTTTAAACTGGGGACTGCTTGTACAGTATACTGTACTTCAATCTCTATACTGTAATTTACACACACTCCAAAAAATATCTTCATGGAGGGGTCCGATGAATTTTGAAATGAACACTACGACTCCTATTGCCTCAGTAGGGTTTTCAAAATTCTTCGTCTGTTGTCATATTGTCAAACACAATTGTAAAGACACTTTTTGGAGCATATGTACACTCATTAAGAGAAAACAAATGTTTTATAATTCATCAAAATGTCACATACATTACAATACTCTATATACAAGTCAATTTACACTTGTTCATTGGTCAAGAACCTATACTGTACATCAAAGGTAAACAGATGGAGAAACCATTTGCATCAAACCTTTAAATTATCAGTAAGTGGTAGAGTATTTTGATCCATGTCAGACAATAGTTTTGGTCAACTAAACACTAAACTGACAATGCCACAAAGCTAATATGTCACAAGTTTATCACACACTGAGAATGATACTTACTAGTGAAATGAAAATGCCTTTCAGTGATATGACCAGACTGAAGGCAGCTTCCCCTATTTCATCACTTCACTGTCAATTGTAACTTCCGAGAAAAAGGCGTAAAGGAAACCAAACAAAAAATAAAAGACAAATTGCTGAAGAATATTGAGAGTGTAGTATTAGGCCAACAAGCACTTTGCAAAAATGTAAATAATCCCAAGGGGCATTCTGTACTGATGCTGAAGTTTCTGTGAATCCTTTTAGGTTAACCATCACAATCCTCCATAACCATCCTACAGTAGAGACTTGAAACTTACATTTATAATTTTTCCCATGCAACATTATCAAAAAAGGTATTCAAATCCTCACAAAAACTGAAGCAATGTGTCATTTTTAAGTCACTCTCCGGTTTGATAATGTATGCTAGTGACATATCATTGGCATGTCGCTTTAGAGTATTGCCCACTAAACATGTAGGAAGCATGAATATTCTCTGATAATCAACTCGTCAACACAAAATAGTTTTCGAAAGTTACAACCTAATAACAATTATCATTCAACCAGCAGTCAGTCACGTGTACAGTACATATGACAACTCATCTTGGACCCTTGTTGCCGCGGCGTTGTTTCGCTGGCTGTGGTTTAGTTTGTGGGTCTGATAAGTCATCACTTGGTTCCGACTTGATTCGAACTGCACGAGACTTTTTGGCTCCAGTTGATGGACCAGCTTTGTTTGTATCATCTTGTTTAACTTGCTGTAGAGACACAATATACAATTAATGCTTAAATATTGTATGCATTATCAGAAATCAAGTTCTTATTGTTGAAAATGTAGTTGACAAGCCAGGCCCCAACATGTGGTTGGGAATGTCAAGAAGTGTGGGCTAAACACATCTTGCCAGAAAGTGTTAACAAAGCCTTCAAGACAAACTAGTGCCCTCTTACCTTATCCTTAAAATTGTGAGACAACTGTTCACTCCTAGACTGCCAGATCATCTGTTGTCGTTGCACCACATCGGGATACCTGGAAAATAAAATTATATCACATATTACATTACAAAGGTTAAAAGAAAACACGATGAGGACATCCAAGATCAATTCTTTGTATTATGGCCTACAAGATTTTAAAACTGCTCATAAAACGATGGAGAAGTTAAATATCATGAGAAATGTCTAAGTACAGTAGCTAAAACAACTATCTGTGCAGGTGGGGGTCGATATGCTCTGAAATTTTACGTGTGACTAAAGACAGCCCTTATATATACCAAAATTTATTGTCCATGGTCTCGTATTGTTTCCCACAAAGTATGCACAGATAGTATTTTTAGCTACTGTACATGATGGGAAATAAATACTGTACTGTATAGGTGCTCCAAATATTATCTTTATAATTTCGTGTTGGACAATATGTGGCATTTTCTATGGTCCCGTGTAGCCACATCCATACTCTCCCATGTGGGACTCAAAAACACAGAAATTTTACCTTTCTTCCTGATGGTATCAAGGCTGCTGTTGGGGTGCTTCATGGCAACTGAAGTCTCACACAGAGGCAAAGGCAAAAGTGTGAGCCAGTGAACATGTGGCTAGCTCCACAAGTGGCCTCTCAGCCAATGGGTGAGCCAGTGAACACTCATTACCTCTCGGGCAGTGGGTGACACTCTCGGACCCTCAGTTCCTGCTTCTCCCTTGTACTGTGTGTTGTTTATGCCCAGATTTACCCTTTTTACACTATAATTAAAGTACAACACAACAGGAATGGGTGGTCCTAATGGTTCCTGTAGCCTAATGTGATTTTCTCATTGCAGCACTTAATGAATTTGTAATTGTTTTTTATGTTCTTTTGACTATAACCCACTGAGATATGTGAACATGTTATATCCTATAGAGGAACCATCTATCATCATTGTTAGATATGGAGATTTATTCAGAAAAATCACGACAAGCTTACACTGATTCAGCATTTATACAGTCAATGCAGGTGTATAATACACTGAACAGAGACAATGTGGGTATACAAACAATGGTAAATAGTATCTTATGACATTATAAAACCAAATTTAGTGTCATAAATCATAAAAAAAATTTAAAATGCATCTTGTAAGTAAACTTAAAACTTATCAAGTACAAAGTACAGTACAGTACAGTAATTCAAAGTAAAATTTGTAAAAAAAAAAAACTTACTTTTTCATAAAATTTGTATCTGTAGATAAGAGAAATTCCCAGGTTGCTCTTGATCTTCTACACTGGGAGACTCCATTTAGTATGTTCTTAAGGTCATTACTTGGCAGTCTCACAACCTCGGCAACTTCAGCCCGTACCACACTTGTACTTTTTGTGAAGAGGTATAACTGGGGGCGGAAAAGTACCAAATTAATGCATGGAGTCCAATGACACAAGAGTACAAAATGATTCAGTTGATGGTTGCCCAGAAATTTCGGTAATTTAAACATTATTTATGAGAAAATAAATGTGAGAGAGAAATGCTTGAAATTACAATATAACTTCAAAAACTTTACTGAAAATACACTAAATGTTCTTTGCAATCAGACTTTATTACTACTGATTTTTAGGTTCATGTTTATTACACGTCCTAAAAAACAGTAATTATTTAGGGTTCTCAATAAAAAAATGAACCTGTATCATCCTGAAAGTTCATTAAGTAATACTACAAAAGAGGATGGACCTCCAGTGACAGAAAGAACACCATCACCAAGATAGCTTCTTCTTTATGTCACTGATGACCACAACTAGTAATATAGGTCATCTTATTTATGACTTAAGACTTCAAGAGCTCAATACTAACCACAAAGTCTCTGCCTCGCTGAATAAGTTCATTAGCCACTCCAGACTCTGACCAGCTGTCCTTTGGGTATAGTATATCAGATTTGACAACCCAGTTGCCTTGGACAAGAACAGCAACTTGTTGCAGGACCTTCAGCACAGACAAAGCAGACTCTACACTATTCTCACAGCTAAACACTCCCAGTAGCTCACCAAATGATGCAACACCAGCTGAAAAAAGTAAAAAATGAAATACTGCATAAAAAAAGAGAGATTTGCTGATGTTGACCCATCATTTTGCCTAAATTTCTATTTAAACAAGAGCCATAAAAATGGCAAATATTTACAGAAAATGCCAAATTCCGAGAGAGGGTAGATATCAACGATTCCAAGTCATAAACCAAACATGGCCAATTATGTCACCTTGTAACCATACCATTAATCATGACAGTCTTAACACGGTCATGTAAAGGAAGGGCAGTGAGTGCTGAGCGAGACATGAGGTGCGCAGGAAGGCCTGGAGTGGTTAGTTGGACCTCTTCTGTGGGTGGCACTAACTGGCTCAGATACTCCTTCGGTGCCAGGCTGAACTGATCTACGTGCTCATCCTCGTACATGCAGTACAGTTTCCGCAGCTCAAATTCACTACGTTCGCTCCCATATCTGAAGAGTGCAAGAAGGTGAATGTGGCAGAGTACAACACAGTACAGTATGTCAAATTGTAAATCAAAATCTAGACAATAATACTATCAGATCATTTGAAGATCAGACAACCCAGTTTATTTCACCTGATGATTAAATATTCTCACTTAACCTAACCTATCCCCTAAAGTAGTGGGGGACAAACGTTCAAGAGATCCAATTCATACCATCAAATTCCTGTAGAAAATAAAAAAATTCCTCGAACAGGGTTCTTATAGAAACGTAAGATATGTATTTAAAAGGACTAATTGAAATTATTTAGAAAAAATAAAAGCAAACACAATATTAAACACTTTTTTACGGTAGTGAAAAATATAAAGCATTAAAAAAATTCTTGTGAAATCTATCCCCTATAAAGTTCACCATCTATCTTAAGTCTTTAGCTATCTATGCAAGTCATTCACAAACAACAAAAATTCTCACTTGTGGTAAGTCACTTCAATCCATGGCTCTTCACGTATCTGTCTCAAAAGAAAACCATAACTTTTTTCTTTTGCTTTGCGACTTTTTATTGTTTCTGGCTTCTCAAATCGCACAGTCACTTTCTTGGCTTTTTCCTCATCATCCGAATCTTATTGAGGAGAAATAATAATCACTACGGTGTCGTTTATTAAGTACAGTACTGTCGTGGGCAAATAATACGTTACCAAATATAATCTTTTACCTCGAGAGATATGCCTGTAGTACTGTACAGTATACCTGCATTATCTACTTACATGCTAAATCAGTGTAAACTTGATGACAATATTACTGAATAAATAGTATCTAAGTGTAGCTACATATTGGTGTCAGCAGAGATCTACTTAATATACTCTTAACACTTCCAGGCATCAGTAAACAGAGTAACCATTATTCTTTGTAGAAAACCCCGGTGAAAAATGGACTATCTAAGGTTAAGAGGTGGATGAGTTTGTCCTTAATATAGATTATTATTGTGAAATTATATAAAATGCCAAAAGAGGCATAGCTGTACATGTATTAAATTTGCATGAGCATGTCTGTTATAAAGTTTCCGACTGCTGTACTGTATATGAGACATATTACTCATCATCATTATTTTATGGCTATTTTCCACATTTGCATCAGTTAGCTGGGCTTATGTGATGGCAAGTCAAAATGCTGTGCGGTCTCTTGCAGCCTCCCTCGTCAGGTTCTTAACATAAGCAGTATAAATAGTCTTTGAAAAACAATAATGCAGGCAGCTCACCTTCTGTGTCTCCGGACATGTCCTTGCGTTCTTGCCGTCCTCTTTTATCTGCTAAGTCGAGGTATGAGAACGATGGTCGAAGGGCAAGAACAGATGATAAAGGTGTTAAGTGAAGGCTGGAGTCCCGCACAACACCCACAGCATAGCGACTAACATCAGTCATGGCTTTGGTCGATGTCAACACCAACTTGTCCATAACATTACTGTGTGAATAATTTTAGACATTAAATACAATAGAATGAAAAAAATTATCTCGTACAATAATCTAAATTCTAATATGAATACATCAAGATATTCCGTTAATAGAGTAATGAAAAATTGGATCACCTGAAGAATCTCCACCCAGCTAATTTCACCTAACACTAACCTAACCTAACCTTATCCCCCAACACAGCAATAGGATGGTAATCTTTTGGTGAAATAAGCTGAGCTTGAGATTCTTCAGGTGATACAAAAAAAATAAATTCTAATTTAGCTGATTCTTCTGTAACCAATAACTATGTAACTTATCTCTTTTAAGCATGAATGCTCTATCAATTACCAGTAGTATGTACATGTTCTTAGACCTTGATGAATTAATGATCCAAGTACAGACTCCAACTCTAGGACTTGATCAATTACAGGCATACTTTTTATGGCATTATTAATGTATTCCTGGACAATGAAATACTACAGAAACAGTTCTATAAGAAGTTAGTTTGGCGAACTCATACTGGATAATGCCCTTCTTACGTATGACTTGGGATCTGAACCCACAACCGCAGTACAGTATTGAGAGGCAAGCAAGCTACCACTGTACCACTAACAGCTTCTACTTTTACTTACCTCTTATAGAAATTATCCTCTGAGTCACATTTGTCTCTGAAGGCCCCATCAACATTAAGGGCAATCTGCTCTCCTTTACTCTTGTCATAGGTGGGGCCTCTGGTACGTAATCCCAACTCCATCTCAATCTGACCACTTCGAGGGCGAATATTTGTCTGTATGTGAGAGTAATAATTTTAAATATTTTCCTTTAATGAAACTGAAGCACTTTAATTTTTCATTGCTTTTGTTATAATGAAGATAGAAAATTTAGGCCTAATACAGGTATTATAATATTAAATCTGAATCTTTCTTCAAAACTCCTGTACTGTATGTACATTATGAAGTTAGACTGTCTTAACACCTTTTTTGTCAGGAAGTGAAAAGTACTTTAGTGTGTTTAAATGGATCAGTCAGATTATATAAAATCGTTACCTAAAATTACTGTACATGTACTGGGATTATAATTGGCATCTTTAAATTGATGTAATTATTTAAAGGATCTTACCTTAAGGATTGTGGACTCATCATAACTGTGTGAGTGAGGTCTTACAGGATACTGTAAAACATAGAGCTGCTCTGCCAGGGTTTTGGCCAGGAAAACAGGAATCTATAGTGAGGTTGTTAGTTACACAATTTGGGTTATTATAGATATGATATACAGTAAAGTACAGTACCTGAAAAATAAACAACATATAAATAAATACTGTATACGTACTTTAAAACAACAAAAGTAAGATAAATGTAATTGCCTTCGTGTGCATGAAAACAAAGCCAACAGCTCTAGTTCTTGTAGATCATTCCAGGGACTCGGCTTTTATATTTGTTCCATAAAATTTTCCCGAAGTTGCTAGTTAACCTGGACCTCTATTCCAGAGTACTGTACTGTATTACCAGTTGCACTTGTCAGCCAATATGTCTTCCATCAACCCAATAAGCTAACACAACCTACCTATCTAACCTTAACTAATTTACCTCTCTAACTTTACCTAAATTAACCTACGTAACCTTACCTAGTCCACCTACTGTATCCTAACCTTACCTAATGTATCTGCCCTCACCCAAGTAAGAGATAATCATCATTAGTTTAGGTCAGGCTGGGGTATTATTATTGTTTCGGTCATCCAGCGAATTTGGGGATTTTAAGTTCCCACTGTCCGAGAGAGGCTTAGGTTAGGTTGAAATTATGTTTTTCTAATGGTTTTTGATGTTTCGAACGATTCTGACCTATACTTCCAAATAGGTGGATGACCAAAACGATAATTTTACCCAGGATAGTTCACTCTTATCTTCGATTAATGATACAATGTAATGGTCACTAGAAGTGATCATATGGCGTTTGCTGAATTTATGGTAAGCATTTATATGTAAAGCAAAAATGACAGTGGATGGTTGTGGTGGACATGTCCTTTGAGAAAAAATAAATAAAATCAATCAATTCCTGTACTTAATTTGTCATTATCTTGGTGTACGGACAAACTAGTCGAAAATAAGTGGTTTATCTGCATAACTTGAGATCAGTTTTATGATACCTATTATGTCCACACCTCCAGTTTTACCAAAGACGTACAGTAGTAGTTTTGAATATATTTCCACCCATGCTGTTTGACAAGTTAACCCCCATTTTTTCCATTGATTCTGTAAAAGCCATATATCAATTATATAACTGGAGGCACAAAATGTATTAGCATTATCAGTGCCTTTATAAACTACAGCAGGTCTTACCTCAGCCACCACAGGATCATTGTCTGTCTCATCAGCTCTCATTTTGACTAAATGATTATGTTAACTAACTTAAGAACCTTTAAATATACAGTTTATGTAAATATATTGGTCTTCCACACGTTTTATATCCTAGTAATTCACCACACACACACACACACATGCCAGCTGGTTAAGGGACCCTTCATATAAATATTTTGATGAAAACACACACACACACACACTGAGTATGTATATATATATATATATATATATATATATATATATATATATATATATATATATATATATATATATATATATATATTATAAAGTGGGTTGAATTGTTTTGGTCCATAGGTTAACCATTGTCCTTCAGTATTATCCAGCTTTAATTCCATCTTTAATGACACTTGAAGTACGTCTAGCAGAACTGTGTGTTTTGATACGGGTTGTATAGCAGAGAAAACGGCCTTATTTCTGCCTTGCAGCTCATCCCTCTTGTTCAGGCACATGGGCTACGAATGTGAAAGAGAATAGAGGTACAGTATTTCGACAGACGTCATCAAACCCCGATTCTTTAATCAGGGGTATTGTGGGTAACCGCGCGGATCTGTGAGACTGGAGACCACCATATTTGTAAACAAATGGAATCTTACTTTTATTTTTATCCTCTTCGCCACTGATCGGCTCGTTAGCCGCCCGGTCGAACGGTCACGTCTCTATCACTCACTGTTGGCAAATACTGGGCCTGCACCGGCTCCTGAATATACCTGAATCCACTCCAGTGTTGGTCAAGTCTTGTCTTGAAAGAGCTCACACTCGGTGCCGTCACAACACTCTCTGGTAGATTTTTCCAAGAGTTTACAACCCTCACTGCGAAAAAGTTTGCCCTCGCAGTTTTCTGGACTTGCGGCTTCTTCACTTTTGAGCTGTGACCCCTTGTAGGGCGAGCGTCCCCCAGCTCCAAGTAAGGACACTCTATTGAGTAGTACCCCCTGAGATGCTTATACACCTCAACTAGGTCCCCCCTTGCCCGTCTGTAGTATAAGCTAGGCAAGTTCAGGCGCTCCAATCTCGCAGGGTAGCTGAGGTGCCGAAGTGCAGGCACCAGTCTGGTGACCCTCCTTTAAACATTTTCAACCAACTGACAATCCCTAGCACATCTCGGGGACCAGACGGGGTGACAGTACACCAGATGGGGAAGCACTTCACTCTTGAAGATCGTTAAGAGGGACGGACCGTCTAGATATCTGAACGACCTTCTTATAAGACCCAAAAATTTATTTGCCTGGTTTACCTTTTTCTCGCAATGGCCCGAGAACTTCAGCTCCTTGTCAACATACACACCTAGGTCCTTATCACATTCATTCTCAACAAGTGCAGTTTCTTCATCCCGTTGGGACATATGATACGCCTCCTTACCGTTGGTACGCCCCAGGTGCATCCTCTTACACTTCGTGACATTGAATCTCATCAGCCATTTCTTCGACCATTCCTGGAGCCAACAGAGGTCCTTCTGCGGCTCCTCACAGTCCGCTTGGTTCTTAATTTCTCGAAATAACTTGCCGTCATCGGCAAACATTTGTATGGAGGAGTGTACAACGTCAGGCATGTCATTTATGAAACAAACAAACAAACAACAGCGGGCCCAATACACTGCCCTGTGGTACCACACTTGTGACAGGTACAGGTGACGATTTCGTGCCATTAATCACCACACACTACTTGCGGTCACGTAGAAAGTCTTCTATCCACGCTAGGACATTTCCCCGAATTCCGTACCCTTCCAGTTTGATTTTCAGCCTTTCATGGGGTAGATTGTCGAAAGCCTTGGCAAAATCTAGGTAAATATTGTCGATATTACCACCCCGTTCCAGAATATGGTTCCAAATATCCAATACCATGAACAATTGTGTTAAGCAGGAGCGCCCCGGCATAAAACCGTGTTGGCAATCCTTTACAAGGTTGTTTCGTATTAGATATTCCATTGTGACATCTCTGATAATACTCTCAAGTTATATTCTTGGCAAATTCGAGTGTTTAAGGCACCCAAGACGATAGCCTTGGGTGTTTGAGGACACCCAAGACTATAGCCTTGGGTGTTATAGTCTTGCCAAATTCGGGTGTTTGAGGCACCCAAGACTATAGCCTTGGGTGTTATATTCTTCGCAAATTCAGGAGTTTAAGGCACCCAAGACTATAGCCTTGGGTGTTATATTCTTGGCAAATTCGGGTGTTTGAGGCACCCAAGACTATAGCCTTGGGTGTTATTTTCTTTGCAAATTCGGGTGTTTGAGGCACCCAAGACTATAGCCTTGGGTGTTATATTCTTGGCAAATTCTGGTATTTGAGGCACCCAAGACTATAGCCTTGGGTGTTATATTCTTGGCAAATTCTGGTATTTGAGGCACCCAAGACTATAGCCTTGGGTGTTATATTCTTGGCAAATTCGGGTGTTTGAGGCACCCAAGACTATAGCCTTGGGTGTTATTTCTTGCAAATTCAGGAGCGAGGCACCCAAGACTATAGCCTTGTTATATTCTTGGCAAATTCTGGTGTTTGAGGCACCCAAGACTATAGCCTTGGGTGTTATATTCTTCGCAAATTCAGGAGTTTAAGGCACCCAAGACTATAGCCTTGGGTGTTATATTCTTGGCAAATTCGGGTGTTTGAGGCACCCAAGACTATAGCCTTGGGTGTTATTTTCTTTGCAAATTCGGGTGTTTGAGGCACCCAAGACTATAGCCTTGGGTGTTATTTTCTTGGCAAATTCGGGTGTTTGAGGCATCCAAGACTATAGCCTTGGGTGTTATTTTCTTTGCAAATTCGGGTGTTTGAGGCACCCAAGACTATAGTTTGGGTGTTATATTCTTGGCAAATTCTGGTATTTGAGGCACCCAAGACTATAGCCTTGGGTGTAATATTCTTGACAAATTCAGGAGTTTAAGGCACCCAAGACTGTAGCCTTGGGTGTTATATTCTTGACAAATTCAGGAGTTTATGGCACCCAAGACTATAGCCTTGGGTGTTATATTCTTAACAAATTCAGCAGTTTAAGGCACCCAAGGCTATAGCCTTGGGTGTTATATTCTTGACAAATTCAGGAGTTTAAGGCACCCAAGACTATAGCCTTGGGTGTTATATTCTTGAAAAATTCAGCAGTTTAAGGCACCCAAGGCTATAGCCTTGGGTGTTATTTTCTTTGCAAATTCGGGTGTTTGAGGCATCCAAGACTATAGCCTTGGGTGTTATTTTCTTTGCAAATTCGGGTGTTTGAGGCACCCAAGACTATAGCTTTGGGTGTTATATTCTTGGCAAATTCTGGTATTTGAGGCACCCAAGACTATAGCCTTGGGTGTAATATTCTTGACAAATTCAGGAGTTTAAGGCACCCAAGACTATAGCCTTGGGTGTTATTTTCTTTGCAAATTCGGGTGTTTGAGGCACCCAAGACTATAGCCTTGGGTGTTATATTCTTGGCAAATTCTGGTATTTGAGGCACCCAAGACTATAGCCTTGGGTGTTATATTCTTGACAAATTCAGGAGTTTAAGGCACCCAAGACTATAGCCTTGGGTGTTATTTTCTTTGCAAATTCGGGTGTTTGAGGCACCAAGACTATAGCCTTGGGTGTTATATTCTTGGCAAATTCAGCAGTTTAAGGCACCCAAGGCTATAGCCTTGGGTGTTATATTCTTTGGCAAATTCCCAGATGGAGGCACCCAAGACTATAGCCTTGGGTGTTATTTTCTTGCAAATTGGTAATGGAGGCACCCAACATTATAGCCTTGGGTGTTATATTATTGACAAATTTGAGCGAAGGCACCCAAGGCTATAGCCTTGGGTGTTATTTTCTTTGCAAATTCAGGTGTTTGAGGCACCCAAGACTATAGCCTTGGGTGTTATATTCTTGGCAAATTCAGCAGTTTAAGGCACCCAAGGCTATAGCCTTGGGTGTTATTTTCTTTGCAAATTCAGGTGTTTGAGGCACCCAAGACTATAGCCTTGGGTGTTATATTCTTGACAAATTCAGCAGTTTAAGGCACCCAAGGCTATAGCCTTGGGTGTTATTTTCTTTGCAAATTCAGGTGTTTGAGGCACCCAAGACTATAGCCTTGGGTGTTATATTCTTGGCAAATTCAGCAGTTTAAGGCACCCAAGGCTATAGCCTTGGGTGTTATTTTCTTTGCAAATTCAGGTGTTTGAGGCACCCAAGACTATAGCCTTGGGTGTTATATTCTTGTCAAATTCAGCAGTTTAAGGCACCCAAGGCTATAGCCTTGGGTGTTATTTTCTTTGCAAATTCAGGTGTTTGAGGCACCCAAGACTATAGCCTTGGGTG